GATATTCAATAATACTTGGAAATCAAATTAGGACAATATATAACCCCAAATTACAGTTAGGTTTGAAAACGTCTTTTATATCCGATGGTCGCACAAAGGATCGATCTAACGTCAACAAAGGATCGATCTAACGTCAACTTTAGAAAAAAAAAAAAAAACGTCAACTTTAGGGCTTAATTACAACATTTGAAGATTACTATCAATACAATATTTTGGGAGGTTCTGCCGTAAGTAAGTTAGGTCATCCGCTATTGTGTGTTGAGTTGTAAACATCATCCGTCGTGAATGTGATATCGCAATTTGTTCTTTCTGAAGAATGGTTAAAAGATGTAACTAACGGACAAAAAGTTTGATTTGTTACATTTGGAAATTTCGAGAATGGTTGGTCGATTCAAGTTAAAACGATTTGTCAATGCAACTCCCATTATTGGACATTAGAAACAGTTTGTAGATTTGGGCCTTTGATTTTGGGCCTCAACTGCGGTGTATAACGTAAGCAGATGCACATGTTAATTTTCTTAACCCTCCTCGATCGGTCCGAAGAAACATGGACACTCTCTCGCTAATCAACTAGATTTTAGAGTTAATTTCTAACTCTGCCTTACAAGTGAATTTTACGAATGCATAATTTTCAGAAAGAACAAGAATGGGTTTTTTTATTATTTTACAAGATGAATTAATTACTCTGGAAATGTTATGTAATGTTTTAGCTAGTTATCCTATACGAGAAATAACAAAAGGGAAAAAAAAGGAATCGCTAGCTTGGAGATGAAGAGACAACTATTGTATGAGTTGCATCCAATCATAGGCTATTCTAGTGACCTAGATTAAACTTGGTATGCTCGTATGAAAATCAGTAATGGTTAATCATAAAATATTTATATATATAGTGTGAAATTGGGACTAGTGTTAATTGGTGATTGTCATCTAATCACAATGATTAGAACGAGATTTGGTGCTTGACTAATTTGGATTTTGTTAGATATACATCTCTCCTTTTTTGCATTATATATATTCAAAGCCACTGTTAAGCGATAATGACTTTCGTAAATGACAAGATTGTATTACAACAATCGGATTAGTTATGTTATAAGCTTTTCAATGTCTGAAAATGATCACAACTCTCTGAAACATTTGTTACATATTATGTGGTAAATTTTTAAAATTTGAATAGTCAACAAATTTTACTTTAGTCCTAGTGTTGTTTGATTGGGAGAGATCTAGGTTGTTTTGTGTTAAGATATGCTTTTATTTTTTCGTTTGGACCTCTAATATTTTCTTGTCATTTTGTTTGTAGAGTGAATAAGAGACTGTTGTTGATGGTGGAATAATGAATTGGACTGAGAAAGCAGTAAACAAACAGTTGCAGTTGCAGTTGCAGAGCAACAAAGGTCACTGAGAGTTTAGATTTGCTTTCATGCATTAAAATCTCTCTTTCTGCTCTCAAGCTTTTTCCTCTTTTCTGACTTATGTACCCGTTTTTTTTTTCTTTAACTTTGATTCTTTTAATAAGACAATCATGTTTTGTTTCTTATTAATTCACTGAAACAATTGTTTTAGTTGTTTCTTACAGCTTATTTATATCTCACTCACCTTCAATTTGTTAAAACTGAAAAAAAAAAAAAAAAAACATGCTACGTTTAGAAATAATGAAGAGCAATAGTCTTGTGATATTTGAATTTTATGAAATTAAAGATATATTGATTAAATGAAAATAATAAAGGAGAAAGAAAAAAAAACTATTTTTTTCCTTTTTTATGAATATAAAAAACAAACTAATGTAATATTAGCTTTTAATTAGTATTATTATTAGTGTACCTTGTCGTCGAGCCGTTTTGTGTTCAAAAGGATGGATACTTTGGTGTAAAACCATTATAAATGGGGAAGTACCCTATACTCTCTTCCTTAACTCTTTCTTTAACTTTGCTGAATCTCCTAGATTCGAGACAGCAAACATAATCTCAAATCCATTAGTCTCCAACTAGAATCTAATACAATCATTCTTCACTTCCCAAGCGAGTTCAGAAGTCTAAGAATCTTCAGGCAAATTAACTAGCTAATGTCTCGACCTAGAAGCTCGCCGCAGTTTCAGCTATCGACCAAGAAAAGGTTCGGAGCCGACGAGGGTGCGTCCAGAGAGAAACAGGGGAAATACGGTTTCACGAGGAAGTGTGGGAGATTGGTGAAAGAACAAAGAGCTCGCTTCTACATCATGCGGAGATGCGTCGTTATGCTTATTTGCTGGACTGATAATCATAGTACCTCCTCCTATTCCGACCACTACTAAAATCAAACATCTCTCTTATTAGCTTCTTCTTCTTAAGTTCTTATTGCCGCAGCTTCTTTTAGTCTATACTAGTAAATTAGAGATACAAATGTACATAAAGGGAACTACTCTCTATAGTTTCAACTCTATTTTGTGTTTTTTAGATTCGAATGTTTGTGTTTTGCTTTGGTCATCAGTTTCAGTGTACGACAGACTTGGAACAGCCGAGAATATGAAATATAAACATATCAGTTTCGTTTTTCTTGCTCGATCATATCGATTTTTTTTATTTTTTTTGGACAATCTCGATCATATCGATTTTATATTTCATTACTTGAACTAGAATACGTGATTTCAAAACATATCAGTTATTATTGTCTAACCCGATGTGATCAAACTTCAAATCACGTGTTATGACTTAAATGTGTTAGAGAAGAAGTTTTTTGCCCATTTTTCTTTTATTCTTTTCAAAAAAAAATTAAAGTGATTTAAGATTTTCGAATAGCTTGAAGTCAAAGGACAATTATGGTAACTTCAAAATGTTCTAAAGAAATAATGTTGTTACTATGTAGTGGAATGAACATGCGAATTATAAAATATTATCTCTTGTTAAAAGTAGTAAAATAAAAGAATCTTCTTCTTTTTGCCAAGAACAAAGATTATCTAAGATGATAGAAACTTAGAAAGCTTACATATAAATGTGAAAATAGTTATTTTATGCAATGGAATAATGGATTCTAATAACAGAACTTAACATCTTACGTAGCCCATGATTGCAATAGCTATCACTTAAATACTATAAGAAGAAATATTACGAACGAGAACAAAATATTCAGGTTTATAAACCCACTATACTTAAACGTATTATTCGGCATCGTAACTTCCATTGTTATTACGTACATCAATTATAGTTCATAATAGCTACAGTAAATAATAAAGAGAACTATTTATTCCTTATAGTGCTTAGGCCTAGCTAGGTGATAAAATAAACAGAGCTGAGGCTAGAAAGATCGAGTTCTCTTTTAAGAAAAAAATGAAAGAAAAGTCACTACTGCTGTAGTCATTGTATAAAATGCATTTTTCTAGATAGTTCTCATCAAATTATTCACGGATATAAAGTTTTTTTTCCCCCCTCTTCAAGTGCAATGACTACTATCACGATATTTGACTTCGTACTTGGGATGTTAGGTTTGAACAACCATGATTGGTACCGTTAACAATGTGTTAATGGTTTTGTCATTTACACTTGAATTAAAACCTTTTGACGAAAATATATATATTTGGATCATCATCATACTTTTTCTATGAATTAATCGATAAAATGTTATCGAAAAATAATGATGTGTGTGTGGGATGGAATCTCCTATCTTTGTTTCCCTTGTACTATATTTTTCATCTTCTTTAGTTGTCGAGTTTTTCGATGTAGCTATTGTTTTTACTTTTTATACTTTTTGCCTTTGTGGTGACACTACGATTAACATGTTTTAAAACCTAAACGTTTGACCATCAATATTGATCACGCAATGTCTTCTTTTTTTGGGGGATTTAATTTGTTTCTTTTTTTTTAATAAGTTTCGTTCAATTATTACGGCAATGATTTTGCAGAGATAAAGTATGGAGTGTTCTCAATATATATATGACCACTATCTCTACATACCGTCCCACGTCAGTTTTAGTATAAAATGTTCTATACATCCTAAAATTTTATTATTTATGTATCGATCTACCGCATGCAAGTTTGTAAACTTCTCAAGTTTAATCTAAGAAATTAAAGGCCGAGATAGACATGACAATAGTGATCATCAAGACTAAATTCTTATAGTTTCCAATATATGGACGATATGATGTCTGATCATTGCAAGAGTATAATATAGCGACATTAACAAAAATATAGGAGATATTTCCATTAAGTATAGTTTCAATTCCATTGCCTATATATAAAGATAAAAGTGACAAATTAAAATACTTAAGTTAGTGATGTTGTAAGGGTTTTTGGGGAATGATTGAAAGAAATGACTTTATCAAGGCCATCCCCCACACAAATCTAAAAAGGATCTTTGATTAAATGATTTTTAGAATATTGATTGTTCATTAGCATGCTTTGATTTGGCTTTTGTTTATCAATACTCTCTCTCTCACGCTGATAATATTCCGTTTTGACTTTCACTGTTATATTTTTCACTTTGCGGAATCTTTTTGTACTTTTTAAGTTTACTCGAAATTATTGGGATCAAACAAATTTACAATTATAGTTTTTTTTTCCTTCCAATAACTTTATTAGAACTCAAATATTACAATTGTTGTTTACAGCAGATAATACGAATTAGGGAAAAGAATGATAAATAGCAAATTGTTGGGAATGTTTAGTAGCTGTTTTAGCAAGGATGTCAGCACAACAATTATAGTTTTTTTTTTTTTCTACAAAGTGAAAAATAGGAGTGATGTCCAAAAAATAGAGGAGTTAAGAGTAGAAATGGGAGTGAAGAATTTAATTATGAATTCGTAAGCATAATATATCAAAGATATGTCAAAGAAAAAAAAATTTGTTATATGAAAAAATCATAAAACATTTATTTAAACGCAAGCAAGAATATGTATTTAAACATATTGCATGGGCTAACGTCTCATTCCTTTTGGGTTTGCAGAAGAAGACCTCTTGAAAACAAAATGGGCCTAACGGGCCACGGAATATGAATATTTCATCGGTCCCCAGAGAACAACACGTGACCGTCATCGAAAGCATCGGATTAGAGAAGAAGAAGAAGAAGAAGAAGAAGAAGAAGATTCTCAGGACAGCTCCACTCTCGACTAATTTGGACAGTATATGGCCACCGATCTCCTCTACTTCAATCTCTTTCCTGTTATCACTTCTTCACTCCACTCCCCGCTTCTTCCGTTTTACTATTCGATCGATCTTTCTTCAAATCAGGTGAGTTCGAGATCGTGCGCTAAAATGTTCCGTTAACTCTTTAGTCCAACTCTATTTATTTTTTGGATTTAGATGATAAGTTCATCAAATTGCATCTCTTAGTAATTGTTAAGAGTTTGAATTCTTCCATCCATTATATGATACGTTTTTGTGTGTTTTTGGTGAATTAGATTTCTTTGAAGCTTTGAAAGCTATGGGTGATGCAATTGATTTGAGTGGAGACGGTGGCGTCTTGAAAGAGATTGTAAGGAGAGCCAAACCTGATGCTATTTCACCTTCTGATGATCTTCCTGTTGTCGATGGTATGTTCATCTTCTACTCCCAGTCTAATCATATGTGTTGATGAAGAAAGGACCTTAACATTATTGTTTGTTTTTTTTTAATCTTAGTTCACTATGAGGGTATATTTGCTGAAGACGAAAAGGTCTTTGACACTACACGCGAAGACAATCTTGTTTTCTCCTTTGAGTTAGGAACAGGCAGTGTTATCAGATCTTGGGACATTGCTCTTAAAACCATGAAGGTTTTTTTTATTATCATTTGCGTCTTTCTTCTTTCTTTTTTTCAATAATCTGAAGCATACAACTGATCGGCCAATCTTTTGTTCAGGTTGGAGAAGTTGCAAAAATCACATGTAAGCCAGAGTATGCTTACGGAAGAGCAGGGTCTCCTCCTGATATCCCACCTGAGTATGTAATGTTATTACACACACTGCTTGCATCTCTTCCAAGGCGTGTGACTGTGTTTTTCTGAATTTGACTTGTTTGGTAACTTGCAGTGCAACTTTGATTTTCGAAGTGGAATTGGTTGCTTGTAGACCGAGGAAAGGTGCTAGTGTTGGCAGTGTTTCTGAGGAGAGAGCCAGACTAGAGTGAGCATGATTACACTTGGACCTAAACCATTTGATTATTTGTTCCATACAGATCCTTTTGTTTATGGTCGTGTTTTTGGTTACAGAGATCTGAAGAAGCAGAGGGAGATTGCTGCAGCTGCTAAAGAGGATGATAAGAAAAAGAGAGAAGAAGCAAAAGCTGCAGCAGCTGCTAGGATTCAAGCTAAGCTAGACGCTAAGAAAGGTCAAGGCAAAGGAAAAGGCAAAGGCAAAGCTAAATAATGTGATAGCAAAATAAAAAAAAGGACAAGTGAATGTATTTCTTGGATACCATTTCGTGATTTAGCTTTGGACTTAATCAAACTGTTTTAAAAAAGGCAGAGTCATCATCAATCATCATATTTGACCATTACATGATTGGTTTGGGGTTTAATTCGGGCACACACATTGATAACATAACAAGTGTCGGATACCAAACTTTTCAAACCATGTCCGAAGCATCATCATCGATCTCATCTTGTTCTTGCCATCCTGAATGAGCTCTGAATTTACAGACAGGACATGTTCCTTGCTGTCTCAACCATGGATCGATACATCCTGCATGAAACTGAGCAAACGGATATATGAATGAGTCTTGAGACAATAAAATACCTTGGAGGATTTTTGTTTTGGATAAGAGAAGATATGAAAACCTGATGCAAGCAAGGTAAGGTGCGAACAATTTCCCCTGCAGTAACTTGTTCTAGGCAAACACTACAAGTGAGCTCGTCTTCTGTTCCTTTTTTACTTCCATTGACTGAATCTTGCTTCTGCTGCTTTATAGTAAAACACCATGACAATTTTTTATTAGAGTATTGACTATTGATCAACTTCACATGAAATATTTGGGAAAATGGGAATATTGTAAAATACCTCAGCTGAGGATGACGTTGATGCCTGTTTTGCCAAAGAGCAACTACTGTCAACAAAACGAACACAGGCCAAAAACCATGAATATAGATTCATTCACAATAATAAGATTAACATGTTCTGAAAACAAACAAAAGGGCCGTAAGCTAATGAAAATTTTACTCAATGAATACTTAAAATGGTCATTGAAGAGCTCAACTCTAGAATCATGGCCTAACGATTTATCAGGACGCTATAGGAACGACAGAACCTGTAAATTTAGAAGAATCGATTGAAAAACAGATCTTTAGTAATCACTAGACACACTCAATAGTTACTACCATTTTCCCTATTTTGCAGAGGACACAGTAAAGCTAAGTACAATATTCCCACAAAGTTATCAGTTTCTAACCTATTAAGTTGTAACTTCTACCACTCTCACTTCCCCCTTTAAGGAAGTTAAAGTCTATACAAGCAGCTACGTCACAGCGTCCTAAACTTGCTATTTTCCTATTCCTCAAAATTCCCACTTTTGAAAACATTTTAAGATACAACAGCTACTCACTTTTCAGGATCCAACACCTTGTATTTGTGTACTGGAAGAGCATTTATCTCTTCTTCGCTCATGGACGTTGTGGAAACATTATCAGAATCAAGTGCTCTTAGAGTTTCATAATCTGCATGCAGAACAACTTTTCCCTCAGACTTCAACTACAAAGAGCAAACTATTAAACTAAGCTAAGAAAAATGGAACAAACGGACGATATGGTATGTCAAATCCTAAAGTTTACTAAGAACTCAAATCCTAAACAAAATTCACTGACCTAAGTCATCAAACTCCCGATCAAGAAGAGCCAGCTGGAGCCTAAGTCCTTGAAGACGCCCTCTAGTAGCAAGAGCAATGGAGGGTGGCACATGCAACCTCAGCTCAGTGTGGCTAAAGAGGCCACTTGCTGCTGCAGCATGAGCTTGAGCCTGAGCTTGAAGTTGTTGGCAAGTGGCATACATCCTAAGGGTCGTTGCCATAAAAAAAACCCCAAGCACAAGCCAGAGCTAAAAATTTGTGGAATGTCAAACTGATACCCTAAAGATGACTAAATTGAAAAGGTAAAAACTTGATTTCAAGTATATCACATACCAGGAAATTAGGAGGCATCTGATGCGAATTGAGAATCATAAACAGCAAAAGAACTACAATACACAAACGAAGCAAGCATCATAACAGCAGAACAAAAAATAGTTGCAGAAGACATAGAAGTAAAGTTAAATCACCTGTAACCAGGAAAGCTAGGGAATTAGAATTAACTGGTCGAGCTCCATGAACACGCTGTAGTGTCCACCGATAGCAAAAGACATTTTCCATAAGTAAAATTTTAACAAAAGATGATTGTAATATAATGTTTCGTGCTTCCTGAATTTGAAATTGTCAAGAAGAAGCTTACCATAGCTCGTCTTTCGGGTATAAAACCCGAGAATCCACTTTCTAAATCACCTCTACTTCCCCGGAAAACAAAACTCATCTTTTCCAAATTCACAAGAGAGCCTGCAAAGTTTGCTCCAACAATTGTTAACCATGCAATACAAAAGAGACAGACATGTCACTGAATCTAAATTTGGTTCAATCTAATTCAATTCGAAAACCCCAAACGAAATGAGAACTAGATCACAGTAACGATGGAGAGGCATTTAACCCCGAAGATGATCCCATACAATTTCACATAATCGAAGAGATTGAAATGAGGTAAAGAAATAAGAAAAAAACGAATCCAAATAATTGAACGGAAGTAGAGATCGGAGGAGATACTCACCTAAAGGTGGAGAAATCTACGGAGAAGAGCCGGATTTACTCACGTGTCATAGGAGTGGCGACGACGGAGTCACAGAATCGATATCGGACCGAGTCGACTCGGACCGAGTTATGGCTACCTGAGAGTTTTAGTTATTTTTTGTCTTCATATATTTATCATCCACCATTAATTTCATATGGTTAAAGTGATGTGATGCTGCATGCACTACCACAACGTCGTCGTTTCACCTTTCACTTACTTTATTACTATAATTTTTGGCTCACACTCTCTCGTGACTTCGATTAATCCTCTCTTTAAAAGTCACGTTAAAGGATAATAAACCATATGCGCTTAAGTGTTGAAAATTTGAAATATAAATGTTCACTATCATTATCCTTTGCTGTTTAGTTTTCGTTAACCAAAATGATTAATGAATACAAAATTTTAAGAAATACCACTTTAAAGAAAGAAAAAAAACAATGAAGCATGTTCCATAGTTAAAAAACTCGAGTTTTCAATTTCGAGATCTAAAGAAGTTGTTGACTGGCTTGATTACATTTGACACCATTAGCAAAACCAATCTTTTTATGAGCAAGATCATACTCAACCCACACGTTTTGTTGATGAAGATTCCCTATTATAAACGATTCTATACCCGCAGGCTCCGAGTTGCCGAACGTGAAGCAATACTTCTTCGATCCTGATCCGGGTACCGGGTACAATAGCTTCTGACCCGACACGGTCAGCTCTGCTCCTTCGAACATAAGCGTCACCGCGGGTAATTTCGAAAAATCAGGCTTTGCTGACCCGACCCTGAAACAGAGTTCCATTCCTTCTTCAAACACGACACTCGGGTCAACAGTGAGAACCGATTTGGTTTGTTCGGTAAACTCTGTTTTCAGGACTTTGTAAACCGGAGCTCGCAGGAATGTGAACTGTGTACCGGAATCCAGCATTGTCTGACCGGATCCGGATTGACCACGCATTAGATCGGATTTTGGGATGGGTAGCAATTTCGACCCGACCCGAATTCCTTCGAAGTTGACCGTGTACGCGAACCGGTCAGAATAAGGTAACCGATCGGTTAGAGTAACCAAAGGCGTGTATTTGAGAGGTGGAAGAGAAGGGAGACTCGATTCACCCAGAACCAAAACACCGGTAGAGCCAGAACCGGAGATACAATAAGAGAATTTAGATAAACCCATTTGGTTAACAAACGATAACCGACCCCGGTTCATTCCCATTAAACCGGTTCTTTTGTCGTCCTCCTCTCTCACGCTTGATATCACGTCCATGCACCCGAATGCCGTAGCACGTGTCGTCGACGAGCCGATTGTGAACGTATCTTGAGCGAGGTTCCCCTCCACGGTGGAACCATCGGCGTAGCCGACAACCACGTGGCAGAGATTAGTCTTTTTGTCACACGAGGCTGGAAGGCTGAAATCTTGGGTTTTGGTGGTACAAACGGGAGAAGAACATGGCAGTGCAGAGTAAGAAGATGATTTCACGTGGTGGAACATGGAGGTCGAGGACTGTTTGCACTTTAGCCACGAGAGCTCGCTTCCGGTGTCGAGAACCATCGTGATGGATTGAGGAGGTGAGCCGGCGGTGAGAGAGACGGTGAGAGCGACATCGTATGTGAAAGGAACCTTGATGGATGGAGAAGAAACGAGACGACTTCGTTGGAAGAGTAAGGATGAAGAAGAGTTTTGGGTTGTTAGAGGTAAGATGAGTGTTTGGTTTGTTGTAGGAAAGATTCTCGAGTAAGCGATAGGGGAGATTATTAGAAGCCAAACTGTGATTTGGAGATGAATCGATGAAGAAGACATCTTTTTTACTCTTGTCTCTTTGATCTTGAATTGTTATGAGCTTGTCCTTATATATTATATTTGTGAATTTCTTGTAATGTCATACAAATAATCTTTTCTTGTAAATAAGGACGTAAATCTTTGATCCAAAGGAATTCAAGAGAATGTAAATGCATTTGAAGGGAGAAGAGAATGAATTTAGTAACCAAATCTTGGTAACGCGTAGGATCACCATTAATAGAATGATTGATTTACATGTTGACCAAACAAAAAAGAAGAATGACTGATTACATACATAATCAATAAAAGATTGTTCTGAAAGAAACAGACTAAATAAATGAATATTGTCAAGTTTGGCAAATTCTCATCGATATATATACATTGCCAATACGTGTGGTTCTTCATTAACTTTAGATTAGGTACCAACCAACCTAGGTGTTGTAAATTAAACAATTTGAAAATTGTTGTGAAACCTCCTCAGATTCCACACTTTTATGAGATTTGAAATCTTTGTATTTTTCTAAAATTAATTATCCTCTAAAATTACAAATGATTTTTGTTCTAGTAAGTTTTTTTTGTTTTTTAAAATTTTTTATTTAGTTTAAGAAAGTTGTCATATAGCTTTTGCTTTTTGTATTATATGAAATGCGTTTTCTAAATTATCGTGCTTATAGTAGAACTTGAGAAACTTTGTTTGATTGTTTCTATAGCATTTTACAAAAAAAATATATATATATATAATCAAATTCCAACGTTGTACTCTGGATTCATAGAAAACAACCGAATTAAACTTCAAATTGGGTTTTAACTTTTTAACACTTTACCATCCTTTTTATTATTTCCCTCTGTCCATAAACGAAGCCCTCTTATCTCAACTCAAATTCTTTAATCACTACGTTTTTTATTCGTTTATCTAAAAGTTTGAACGGTTTACGATCAAAACAAGATTTCGAAAAAAACTGGCCGATGTCTATTAATTAATCGTACATATCACAACTATAAATCTGTCTACATTTGTTGTATTCATTCATTTGCCTGTAAGTAACATAATACACTGCATTTGAGCTAATTCTTACTATTGTTGACAAAAAAAAAAAAAAAAAAAAAACATAATACACTGCATGATACTCAAAAACCATATCCCAGAAGTTGCTAATCTATCCAACTAAATTTCCAACGATATTTTTGTCATGAAATCAAGAAAGTATTTTTTTTTGTAAGAAGAACCCTTTTATTTTCTTGCTAATTAGAGAAAAGCTATTTCTCGTAATTCCCTTTCCAATATAGTATAAATAAGTTATTAAAAATTTTAAATAATGAAAATAAAAAATAACCCATATAGTATAAAGAAGTTCAATCGATCATGTAGGTTACCAAATTATAAACCGTCGTCTCACAAGTCATAACTGCCGCTTCCAGTGATTCCTTTAAACTCATCGAGCAGCAACGATTTGATCACGAGATATAGAGATCTAGTTCAATTCACGATATAACTCTCTGTTTTGGAGATATTATTGATATCTAGGGTTTTTGTTTTCCGATGTCTTCGTCTATTCCTAGTGCTGATATGGAGTCCATGAAAGAAGTTGATCCTTCCGTATTGTCAGCCAATGGCTTTATACAATCTCACTTCACCAATTTAAACACCTCCGAAGCGTTAGCCAATTGCTTTCTCCAGTCTTACTTCCTAAACCTAGGAGTCTATCCTGAGGTAGTTCACATGATGTGGTATGCCGAAGACAGTGTAATTACTAGACCCGGTCCTGATGCTACAATTATGTCTTTTACATCGCATGAGGTAGAATCAATCATACAAAAAATTTCTTCAGTTTATGTTTTTAGTCGAATGACCTAATTTTCGTGATAACGATTGTTTTAGTTATATTTTAACGATTCACGTTTTCAAAACGTACTTGAAAAAAAAGTAATAAACCATTCACTAAGGACTAACAAATTCTTGACGGTGTAGGCAATTAAGGAGCAAATCGTTTCATGCGACTATGAAGGCGCTTCGTTTGATGTGATGAGTTTCGCTGCTCAGAGTTGCAATACCAGTTCTGAAGATGGAGCGTTTATCATGGTTACTGGTATAGTGACCTGTTGTAAAGACAAACAACTGAGGAGGCGATTTGTTCAATCTTTGTATTTAGCACGTCGTCAAGATAGATCTTATGCCATCGTCAATGATATGCTCCGCTATGTCGACTCAATACCAGCAATACCTTCCGTTCCTGATTCTGGTTAATAGCTCTACAAAATGTGTTGATTCAATCTTTAAAAGGTTACAAAACTTAGTTTTGGTGTGACTATATATATGCAGATTTTGCAGCTGGATTTGTCAAGGTTTACTACGAGCTGCCTATGCGTGAAGAAGTTGGTTTCATGTATGTAAATGAGAGTGTTATGAGCAGACCAACTTCGACCTCTGGTAGAACAATGGTCGAGATGCCAGGCCTTGATGTAAGTCGCAAAACCTCCTTCAATGTATTTATAGAGAAGTTTCAATCATTTTTTAATGGAATCTAAGTGTGCATTTTTTTGGTGCAGGCCATCAACAAGAGGGTCGCTAATGAGCATAAGAGGGCTTTTAGTTTTATACTGAATAGCGTGGATCATCAGATTTGCAGATCCTTTAAAGATAGAATGTTTATCATGGTTTGCGGTTTCCTAACTCTAGACGACAAAACAGAGAGGAAGTTTTTGCAATTTTTCTATGTGGCGCGTTGTCAGAAAGGGTCTTATGTTATCTTCAATGACATTCTCCGTTATGTTGATGTTACTCCTCAAGACACACTTGAAAGCTCGAGCCACTCTGATTCAAAAACCGGAACTGATGTGGAGCTTCCCTACTTCATGGTTAAGAATAGGAAGCTACTCTCTTATTTTAATAACATAGACACACAAATTACCACCTAGACTAATGGTTTATGCTAGTGTTGTTGTTGATGTGTTCACTAAGCAGTATTATTCCTATTTATAAAAATTTGCATCTAGTTTTTGTTTTTTCCTTTCAATGATTAATGAAAACAACGGTTTACGTTTTTGAGCTATACCACCTTCTTCTTCTTATTCATGCCAGATTCCTTATTCTCTGTTCCGACAGTATAAGGCTATAAGCTGTATTGCTACTTTTTGATTTAATTGCAAGAATCTTATCCCAAGAACAAAAACAGCTTAAAGTAAAGTTACCTGAAAAAACAGCAGATGATACAAATATTTTACATTTTTAACACAATTCAGATTACTTGTTCACATTGTGAAATAGTTTGCTTGAAAACGTTACTAAAACGTGGTTTAAAGAACCTGTTATCTTGGATCAGTTCTAGTTTTACCAGAGAAGGAGAATATGGACGAAGTAGTAGTTTTATTAGGTCCGCTGTAAAACCTAGCTGAATCCACAAAATCCTCAAACTCACCTGCATTACCGCTCCCCTCGTTAAGACACATACTATCATTTGCATCTAAAAAGTCTGGTGCAGGGACAACATCGGGCGACGGAAACTGCTTTTCGAGATACATAACCACTTGTCTCATCGTAGGTCGAACCTCTGGAGAGTTGTTCGAACAGAGAAGGCCTAATTTGATCACCATAACCACTTCCTCTTCATCAAACTCACCGTTCAGTCTCCTGTCCACAACATCTCTTATGTCTCCGCTTTGCCACCTTGACCAAACCCAATCAACCATTACAAGCTCTTCCGGTAACGCACTTGTTTCGATTGGTCTTCTTCCGCAAGCTACTTCTAACAAAACTGCTCCAAATGCATAAACATCTGTACTTGTAGTCAATTTTCCGGATTTTGTGAGTTCTGGTGCTAAGTAACCAAATGTACCAACCACTCTTGTGGTTCCCGGGTTGGATCCATGCTCATATAACTTAGCAAGACCGAAATCTCCCACCCGCCCGTTCATTTCTCCATCTAACAAAACGTTAGCGGCTTTGATGTCGCGGTGAATAACTGTTTGTTCCCATCCTTCGTGTAGGTAAAGTAAACCGGATGCAACCCCTTTTATGATTTTGAATCTTTGCTTCCAAGTCAAGATAACTTTAGGGTTTTCGTCGAACAAGTACATGTCTAAGCTTCCATTAGGCATGAAATCATAGACAAGAAGCAAATCGTCCCGCCTTCGACACCAACCGAGCAACTGAACAAGATTCCTATGCCGGAGATGACCAATGCTCGAGACCTCAGACATGAATTCTCGTACTCCTTGTCTTGACTCATGAGATATTCTCTTGACGGCTACGTACTCTTCTGAACCGGGGAGCTTTCCTTTGTACACTTTACCAAATCCTCCAGAACCAAGAAGCTCCTTGTCCCCAAAACCATTCGTAGCTTTCTTGAGCTCTCTGTAACAGAATCTATGCGGACCAAAATCAAGCTCCCATTCTTCAACTCTGTCTTCATCTTTAGCCTTTTTTACTAAGAACAACGATGCAGCTACAATAACCGCGATGATCAGAAGGGAACAGAAGAGAGATACTCCAATTATCAAACCGGTGCTCTTCTTCTTCTTCTTGATTGAACCGGGAATCCGAGGGAGAGTTGGCAAAGACAGAGACAATGCTTCTCCACTCATGTTAAAGTTCCAACCTAAGATGTAATGTGAACTAGCTAGCAAACCGGTCGAAGCAGAGAATCCAACATACATTTCATCTCCCAAAACAGAGGACAGATCAACGTTGTAAGAGAGAAGAGACAACTTTGGTTTCTCCGAGAATGGAGAAAGCTTAACATCTAACCTTTTCTTGTTTGAATCGTAATCAATCCAAGCTTGAATCACTCTGCCACCGTCGAGGAAAAGCTCTTTTTTGGTTGAATTAGCAAGGAAATATCCAGCTGGAGTCGAAATACTTGACTCCATACTGTTTATATCGATTCCAACATGGTTATCATTGATGTCCTCAAACTCCAAATCCCTGACAGTATCAAACTCCACAGCGAAGAAGTGGCTCGAGAAGTTAACTCTGCTTGAATTCAAGAGGCCTAAGTACTGGCTAGGAAGAGAGCCTCTAAGATCTGGAGTCGGAGCGATGGCGAAGGCAAGCCCGTGGCCTCCAAGAGTAACAAACTCTGGAACCATGGCGATTGCAAAAGACGTGGAGAAAGACTGAACTCGGTTTACACCGATTGGCTTGAACCGGATTGGTAAGGAGTAGAAAGCGTGACCGATCACGCGTTGTGTGTCTGTTGTGAGTCTGATGGCTCCAGTTCCGGCGATCTCTGCCACTCCGGTTATGACTAGATTCGGTGAGGCGTTTTTGAAGCCAACGAAGGAGAAGTCTTGCGGTAGCGATGAAACTAAGTGTGTGAAGATGAGTAGCAACCAGACGAAAACAAAGGTCTGAGCCATCAAAAGTTGTTTTCTTGGGAAAGAAGCAACTGGCTCACTGGTTGATGAGGTATTAGGGTTATAATTCTAACATACGATCTATTAGGAGTAGAAGTAAAGAAGATGGTGAAGATTATGAAAGCATGTGATGCTGAGAATGATGTTGGTGATAGAGGAACATGTGATTATTTCAAGACAGATGAAAACTTTATAATATTCAATACTTTAAATAGTTAATTGCAAATCTAACATTAAAATACGATTATACGAGGTTAGTACCCCATTTTACTTTTGGGTTCCGATGTTGTTAAATATCAATCGAGATCGTCGGTACTGATTAGTTTAATCGATGAGTAAGTACGTAATTAAACGATCTAATAAGATTTGTTTTGACTTGTGAATCTCTTAATTTTATTACTTCTGACGGATACAACTGTATTACTAGAGGATATCGGGGTTCGATCCATGTTTCATGATTGTTTAAACTAATGCTTAACGGTTTAATTGAACTTTATCTGACCAAATTTATGATAAAAATCTGACGCCAAAAAATGTTATCATCATTCAAATGATGTATTATTAAGCCTTTTGATTCTATAACGAATGATGTATTATGCGCTAAGTTCGAATTACATGGCTAGTGTTATATATAGCGAATTAACGATGAGATTAATTCAAAACTAAAGTATCAGATCTTGGTTTATATATTATAGTGTGACAGTTTATATGCAAGTCTAATTAGTAAACTATACGTCGACCAAATCAGTCACAATTCAAATAGTCGACGAGTGGAATAGAACTAAACTATACGCACACAAATGTTGTCGGGTAACTCCAAAGCATACAGTCTGGAAACTATTTTCAGTAACGTGGTTCTGGCACCATTGACGATGTCTTGGCCAAAGTACCAAACTAAAACCAAGAAAAATTACTTTATATATGCTTTCACCATTCGATAAAAATTCATCAATTAGAATATGATAAACAGCTAAAGTATCGTCATGACACAAGTTTTCATATAATAGTGTGAATCGAGTAAAAATGATCCAACTTGACATTAAAAATTATTGGATTTGGAAGAAGTTTATCTTTCAGATAAATGAAGTAAGAAAGAATTATTAATAGTTGTTCTTGGATAGGGAAAAAAGAAGTCAATAAATCAGTTAGAAAAGGTATTGAAAATAACAAAAGATGGGATAACTAAGTCTATGTTTTGGACATATTGATCAACAGCTAATTAAAAGATAAAAGGGTTTGTTGAATAAAAAAGCAGTTAAAGACAAAGAAAATAGAACACGGTTCACGTTGATTGTGGTGATCACTGTAATGAAATAGTAGAATCATGGAATAACGAATACTAATAAATAGTATTAGTAGGAACATGCCAAATGAAAATAATTGATTAATTAATAATCACGAAGTTCTAAAGCTAACTTTTGTTCATTCAAATTTTTTCATATTTAGTTTATATTGTTAGTATATGCATTATATAATATCAAAATGAAACGTAAAAGTTGAGATTTGTATGTCGGTCGAACTCGAAATTGGCACAGTAGACTTCCCAATGTACTGGCCAAATTAAAAGCTGCAGTATGGTTCTTAAAGTTTCTAAACAGGATTGACCACATCAGTTTCGAAGCAGACCAAAAACAAAACAGCTGGTTTCAGTTCAATGTATACGTGTGTAATGTGTTTTGTTTTTGGTTTGGTTAGATGACAGATTTTTGATACGAAAACGCATTTCATGTTTGCGCGATAGAATACTATGTGTTGGTGATACAATATTTTGGAGTCAACATGCAATCACAAACACAAAATCAACTCTAAACCAATGCAAAAAAAAATCACAAAATATCACCTAAACCTTTTTAGTTAATCTGTCGCAAATGTTACGACATGGTGAAAAACAAAAACAAAATCATCCAAAGAGTTCAGGTTACAACTTTGTATTTAGCCGTTGAAATACAAAATAGCTACGGAGTTTAGTCATGATGGGACCAAATCTTCCGTACTCATGTTTTTTATATACATAAAAGATTAAAAGGAACATTTAAGACCAAAGATATTGCCAACGATCCAAACATTTTGGGAAATAATACAATTTCTGATCAATCATATGCTTTTTTGGGACCAAAACCAAAAAAAAAAACCCAAAGACATGAACTTTGTTTAAATTCCTCAGCTAACAAACAACTCTGACAAGATAACTAAACAACATGAAAATGAGAAACCTCATCAACATTAAATACCCACAAAGCTATAAACCGATTTAGCATGCTCTAATCTTATGCCAAAAGCACTAAAGATTCGTTCTAGATGCAACATATAATCATCAATGTCTAGCTTCAAGTAAACCCCTCACTTGATAACACTTAACCCCATTACAAGCTCAAGAAGTGCCAAGTAATACATATATCGAGCCAAATACCTAAACTAAGCTAATCTAATCAGCCTTAGCAAGTAAGAGTACTTTGGAAAGCAAAGATATAAGAATCACACTTACCAACTTAAAAGAAAGAAATGACGGATACTTGCTTCCATTGCTGAAACACACACACACACACACACCATTGCTTTGGTTTTTCCAACATCAAAATTCCAAAACGATTCTACAACCAATGCCACCTTCATACAAAGCTATCCGCGATCAAAATAGTCAAGTCAGGAAAAACCAGCCGTCACATAACAACCAAACAAAACACTAGCTAAAAGTCATCCGATCACCCGTTAATAAAAAAGAAACTTGATAGCCTTAATAAACAAAAGCCTAACCATCCTAACTGAAAATATAATCCTTCCACCAAAAGAAAAAAAAAACCTGCCACCCCAACCACCGCCTATCTAAACTATCAATATGAAGGAGGAGCACGAGACGGAGGAGCACCCCAAAACACGTCGTGCTGACCCATTTGATGACCATTCGGCATAAAGTTAGGAGGCATATTATACATTGGCGGCTGCATCGGTCCTTCGTTCCCATTATTCCCACTCTCGTTATCATCGGTCTCCTTGTCCTTCTGCTTCTTCACATCTTCTAGTTGTGGTTGCTGCTCTTGTTGTTGTTGTTGCTGTTGTTCATCTTCAATCGGTAACCTCTCGTAAGTAGCATTGCAAAACGTAGCAGCTATCACAATAACCGGTCCAGAGGCGATAAGCGGACCAGCGACACCTCCTCCCACGACTTGACCTTGAGCTCCAGCTAAGTAAATGGTTAGACCAGCGGCTGCAGCAGGAGAACCAGAAGTTGGAAGAAAAGCACCACACATAGACAAGATCTCAAACTGACCACGTAAGCTCACAACTCCACCAGACGCAGCAGGCTGACGCAGAGTAACATTAGTAACCAAACCGCTACCGCTCAGCACCGAGACCCCACGGCCGCGTCTGCGAGCAAAGGCGTTCAAGCTTTCCGCCACGTCAGCTCCCGTAGCGATCTCAAGAACATGGCTCTGCAGAGAGTTAGGGCTCTCTTTGGTGACAACAACTGGGCTCTTGGGTTTGTTCTTGGAACCAGGAGGTCTACCTCTAGGACGCCGACCAGTAGAGCCGGATCCAGATCCAGGATCAACGGCGGGTTGCTCGTCTCGGCTGTTCTGCTCTTCTTGGCTGTGAGTCTGAGTATTATTAGGGCTTCCACTGTTGTTGGTGGTGAAGTCATGGTCCAATCTTGGATCCGAGCGGGTCATAGTCGGTGGGTTGTTGTTACTGTTTCTGTGGTGTAAAGAAGGAGCTGATGAAGTCACTGGACTCTCAACTCCACCGATCGCAACATTCCCAACCCACCAAGGATTCGCCATTGATTATTTTTTTTTCTTCTCCAGTAAAAATTAGCTTTAAAAAGTTGTTTTTTTTCTTTTTTGATGGCTCTCCGACAAGAAACTATTACAAGACAGGAAGAGAATCCGAAAACCTTATCTTTAAAAACTTAAGATTAACCAAATCCAAACCAACATGTTGCACGAAGCAGACACACAAGACATGGGGGTATCATTTGTTTGCTACCATCATACCTGAGAGAGAGAGAGAGGAAAAAAAAGGACAAAGAAAAAGAATCAGATCTACAAGAACAACAAGAAAACGCAAGAAATAGAAAAAAATGAAATATTTCCTTAAAGCTAAGAGCAAAGATCAAATAAGGAAAAAGAGAAACCCCAAAAATCTTAACTTTTATATTCTCATGGAATAAAAATACTACCTTTATCACAAAAAGGGAGTTCCTATTTATTTTTTTTCTATTGCGAACGGAGAAAGAAATAAAAAGAAGAAGAAGAGAGAGACCAAACAACAAAACAAAGGTTTAAATTTTTTGTTCAGGGGCAGGATTTTTGTACTTGGAAAGTCGTGAGAAGTCTTATTACCGTCTCTTTCTATTTTGTACTTTGCAAAAAAAAAAAGATTTGAGAGCGTGCGTACGTTAAAGGAAAGAGACTCTGATGAGGCGTACGATAAGAGAGAGAGAGAGAGAGTGATTTGATATATCGGTGATAACGGGTCTCTGGAAACGGTCCTCTCTCTTCTATTCTCTCTCTTCTATTCTCTCTCGACCAGAGCCGTCCTTTTGGACCATTGAACTTTTAGGTGTTCGTGCAAAAGTTTGAGCGAGCTTCTCTAGACGCCTCCTGTCTCTTCCTCTCTTCCCCTCGATTGCTCACTTTTGTGGACCTCTTCTTGATATTACTATTACACCCTCCTTCTCCTCACTTGTCAATTTCTTGGTTCTGAGTGTTGTGTAACAAGTTGTCTTTCTTTCTTTGGTTCTGATAATGGTGAAAATCAACTTAGAAAACCAAACGAATAAAGTTGACTTGAGAATATCTATAAGAGATAAGACTTTTATTTTTTAATCAGCTATTATATTGATGGCAAAAAAAAAAAAAAAAAAATCAGCTATTATATATAAAGTGTAAACATAATTGCTTGTTTTTTTTGAGTTTCCATCGGTTATAAGTTTCGAACTAGAACAACTTCACTATAATTAGAACAAAGAAAAAGACGTTGTTACGTTTAAGTTATGGTTACTAGAAATAGAAATAATATTGAAAGATCCAAATAAGGTATGTTTTGGATAACATGCAAAGAGAGAGAGTGTGTGTGACATTTGAACTGATCTGGTAATGGAATGCTAAAGGATAATAGTATTATGCTAAAGGATTTAGAGACATTGAATTTGAGGAGTGATGACGAAAGATTTGATTTAAATGTTTTTGACCATTACCCAATCTTGAAATTTTCTTTTCCCGCTTGAGAAATTGGATTTTTTTTTTTTTTTTTTTTGTAGTACATTGTATATAGGTCTTTGTTTGACCATACCATACGACCATATCCAGAATAATAAATATATTAGGATAAGTGTGATGTCAAAAAAAGAAATAATATATAAGTTAAATCTTGAAATGTATATCGAAATTTTTGGTCTCACTTCTTTAATGAAGTGAATCAAAAGGAGGACACACCACCGGCCCCAATAGCCACTAGAACGGAACGTTACATCTCTTATATATTTATGTCTTTTTGTCGCCTTTTTATATCCATCTCTCTGTTTATTATTAATTATCCATCCTTCACCTACCTTTCTATATATCCATCATTTATGTATTTACTTTTCTTTCTCACCTGTTCTAAATACAACGACGACATATCCATGCGAGAAAGTTTCAAGTCTGTACACTGTACGTAATGTGTGTGCGCTAATTAACAAGCCTTTCAAACATCTTGCAAGACTTCCAAACAAATATAATGTTCGATTTATTATATCCCAACCAAGGGATATAGACAAAAACCAGTAGTTGATATTTGGGGTACAAAGTATATAAAGAAATGTGTTAATCATAAAGCTTAAACACGAGAGTATCTACTTAGTTGATATTCTGTCGTTTAGAATATAATAGTTTCAACACCAATGTCACTATGCGACTTTAAATTATCAGGTTTCATTATATATTAAAAGTTGTAAATATACTTGTTCACACTTCAGATGCTAAATATGTATGTCTTCTCTTTATTTTCTTTGACTTATTGGCTATTGCGGTGTTCTTTCAACTTCAGTTACACTAGTCTTCTATCATTGTATGTGCCCGGCTTGTTAGAAAATGATAAAAATCATCAATATAGGCGTTATAGTTCCAACCAATTAGACTTGAAGCAAGACCATAAGTTTATATAATTGATTAACCTGTACAAGTATGTTTTCTTCAAGATGGACACAAAAATAATTAACAAGCTAAGTAACAAGTCGTAGTCCGAGTCCGATAACATTACTGCCCAAGCTATGTGGCGGTTGGACGTGGGGATCACTGCGACGAGACGACCCATCTAAATATAATTGATTTTCTTTTTCCAGTTTTTCTTAAGATTTTAACAAATATCTTAAATTAAGATTTGGTGGGATCCTATCTTAAAATCACTTTATATTTATAATATGTGAACGGTACTACATACTTGCTTTTGCTTAACTATGGGTGTCTGATCACGATTTATAAATTAGTTTAGATTTTCGAGTATATATATATATATATAATATATAATTTATATACTGTATATGTATATATATAATTTATATCACGATTTATATACTGTAGATGTATATATATAATTTTTATTTCATAGTCAGCTTCTTTCCCAGTAACAAATAATATATTACAAGAAAGATAGATAATTAACCCCTTTCAAAATAGGATAAAACTCGTGATATGGTTTGCTATAATAAGTTGGAGAGATATCAATGTCGATGAGATACGTTATGATTCCACTCTTAAAATAATCATAAACGTAAATGAAGAGCTACTTAAAGTCTTTCTTGTTTAGTTGTTAGTGTGGACAAATGATTTAAGAGTATCAGCTTCGTTTCCTGATTCATTGGTGGGTTTGGTTGAGTATGTGCTGCTTCTTGGGCCCTGAGGTTTGAGAACCCAAATCCAAAACACTTTGTCCCCTTTTTTAATAATTTTTTTTTTTGCAGAAAAAAACTTGAGGGAGCAAAAAGCTTGAGCTGGTTTACATTGAAGAAAAATTAGACCAATAAGCAATCGTTCTAATGAATCTTTAAGAGAGTTTATATTCTCAAAGTTTGATATATTGTTCTTCTAGTCCCAAATCCTAAAAGTTGTAATAGTTTAGAGACTGACAAGACCAGCCTTTTGTTTCTGTTGCCCACTAGCCACTTTCAAGTAGTGCTCTTGGTTTGTTCAAGAGCGACTATCTAAGTTCAGAGTTTTTATTTGTAGCATAAGGACTCGGCCCAGTCCAGGTATGAGACGAGTGAGAATGACGATATAAAAAATTTAAAATTGTTTCCACAAGGCGATAAACTACCATTTACATTTCTGACTCAGTGTTTTTAACTGCTTCCAAACATTGCTATACGAAACTCCTGATTTACATGTTTCTTTATTACATCATTTTTGTAGGCATAACATAGACCAATTTGTTTATTGCAGCACCTATCCAATTCCAAGTAGTAGTAATAAAAACCTCTTTATGCATGAGCTGATGATTTTGTATCTTTCTTCAGTTTGGAGATAATGGCCTTCCTGTCTTGATAAGGCTTTGGGTTACGAGTTGAAATCCAAAGAAAAGCTCCGATAGCAAAGTCTCGCTTGTGAGCCAAGTCACCATAAGTAGACAAACCGTAATCTGCTAAAACCCTGTCGAGCTTCCACTCTGGCATGTCTTGGTAATCTTCTTTAGAGTATCTTGGGTAATGCAGAGGCATTCGAAACACACTTGCTTCACTGTTCTTCTTGCCATTTACCAGATCCATATATACCGTACAATATTACTATGTAAAGAATATAATCCTCTGTTCTTTTCTTGTGTTTGGCTTCTGATGTGGAAATATAGACATGCGTTTATATATGTTAGTGAGGCTTATATAAAGATGTTGAAAGTGATGGTTTTAAGTTACACACCTAACGTGTGAGTTTTTTTGTCACACGGATTGGTTTGTTTACCTTCTTGATGGCCTTTGTTAAACGCATGAACATGTGGATATAATCACATTTTTGTGACTTTTTTTTAACTATTTCATTACTCGGATCACTCGCACGTACAGGTGGAGTGAACACTATTGAAAAGAAAAAATTTGAAAAGACAAAAACCACACCAAGCAAGCAGTGATGTGGCTAGGATCAGGTTCTTGAAAGGTCCCACATTGGTGGGTGACTCACTTGGGTTGAAGAAGGATTCATCGTCTCAAAGGCAGCAACGTGTCATCACAATCATTAACCAAGCCCCACTGGCTTGAATCTGGCCGACGTATGTATGGACCATGACCACACTACTCCTTCCAGAAACTTCTTCACAAACTCTTGGCTTAGATTTCGCCACAAAACTAGTGGCTCATACATCGCCACCTATGTGTTCACCCCCACGTGATTTATCCTACGTGGCTACCCTCGTTTTCCAAATAATGATACGTTTAACGCGTTATTTAGAAACCAACCCCAAAACTTATTGCTACTTTCGCAAACTCACCCCCTATCTATTATTTTGACACAACAACTCTCCTCTGTCCTTTCCTTATCCATCAAACCAAGGTCGTGTCTAAAACGCTTTCTAAAGGGAAGGCCCAATTTGGGAAATATATTTATAGATAACGTTTTAACAAAAATGGATCTCATCATGTAAAAAACTTTGGTCCACATATTCCAACGAGATATTTACTTGGCTTATAACATATCTCGCACGAGAATATTTTACTTGGCTCACATATTTCCCAAGATATTTTTTTTTTGGGTTTCTAATGAATAGTGTTGTAAGATATTTTAAATGTTTCTCCATCAAAACCCAACAACTTGTGACAATTCCAAAATTATGATCAACCTTTTCAACTAATTATTATCATCATTATAAATTTATGTATGTATACATTGCATCAAAATTAAATTATGCTTAAAAGATAATATTATTTCAAATTACTTATGATGAAGTGATACAAAGTACAATCATTTTTCTACCAAAAAAATACAATTATTTTATATCAATTACAGTGACTGTTGGTGTCACTGAATTGTTTAACAATATTACAAAATACATTTAACAATAAATCAAAATATAAAGTAAATAAAAAATTAAATATCATTTATGAAAATTAATCCTACTAATGTCTAATTAAGCAACAAATTGCCATTAAAACTTTTGAAAATCAAATTTGGAGTTTAAAAAAAAAACTCTAATATTAGAGGAATATTGGGTACAATAAATATAGTAGTTCTTTTAGGAATATGGTATAAAATTATGAAACCAAGTCTCCTAAAAAAAGATGAAAGTATCATTAAACTAGTATTTTACTAATGTGATTTGCAACACCAAAGCCAATTTGTACACCCTTTCAGAAGATATTTACTCATTAGTGAAGACGCTCAATTTCTTTTCGACAAAGCTGCTGCCAACTGGTAAGTGCGTTGCACATGTCCTTAACTCTCAAACATTTTCCGAAATTCATTGATTATAGCTCTTTCGATTTTAGTATTTTAACATAGAGAGGGTGTTTCTGATAAGAAACTAACTGTGAGGATGAAATCGAAGATTCTAAAACTTCGTAGGTTTAAATTAAAGTACAGCCTTTTCTCTCTCTCACAAAAAAAAAAAAAAAAGGAAAAACCCATCAAGCTCACACACACACAGAGTCCTATACATATATATATATATAGGTGCCTTACACGTCAACTTCTCTCTGAAAACTGATATTTTCTTCTCATTCGTCGTTTCCTTGTTTGTGCTTTCTTCATTCGTCAGGTTTTGTGTTTTGTTTTTTTTTTAAAAAGGAAACTGAAATATGAATGGCGAGGGAAAACTTGAGACTGGAGGACCTAGCGCCGCCGCACCAAAGAAGGAGGAAGAGGATGAGGAAGAAGTAGTTGGCAACAGACTTGTCTACATGTGGGGTTACTTGCCCGGAGCTTCGCCGCAACGCTCCCCTCTGATGTCACCGGTCGAAGTGAAGATCCCCTCAGCTGTTGGAAGTTCTTGGAAAGATGTTTCCGGCGGTGGATGCGGTTTCGCTATGGCTACTGCAGGTTTCACAATGATTGCAAATTCAACTTTTTACAATGTATCTCATATTTTTCTTTTTGAATGGTTCAATTGAAATCATGAGTGAGAATGGTTATTTTTGTTTGTTCTGGTTATGTTAATCCAGAGTCAGGGAAGCTAATAACATGGGGTTCGACTGATGATCTAGGTCAAAGCTATGTGACATCTGGGAAGCACGGGGTTAGATTCTCTAATCTTTTCTTCTGCATTGTTTGAATTTGAATCTATGGTACAGGGATACTAAAATTGAATTATATACTTTATGAATGTTTTAGTTGGATTTGTAATTTATAGGAAACTCCAGAGCCTTTTCCTCTTCCTCCAGAGGTTTGTGTACACAAAGCTCAGGCTGGATGGGCTCATTGTGTGGCTGTCACAGGTGCATTTTTCATTTTCTGACCACATCTGTTTCCAAGTTCCGAACTTTATTGATTTTGAACTTATCATTTTTGTTTCTTTGGATACAGAGAATCAAGAAGTTTATACATGGGGGTGGAGAGAATGTATACCCACAGGGAGAGTGTTCGGTCAAGTAGAGGGAGATTCATGTCAAAGAAACATTTCGTTCTCAGCAGAGCAAGGTTTATCTCCTTTGCCTATTTTACCATTATGAAAGCTCTAAATTTATGTTTTTTTTTTTTTCTAAAAAAGAGTTCACATTGAGGATGAATATATGGTGCTTCTTTTGCAGTGAGCCCCAGTTCTCAAGGAAAAAAATCTAGTGGTGGAACGTCTTCTCAAACTGAAGCTAGAGGTAAAGGGGAAGCAACAAAGAAAAGGCGGATTTCACCAGCAAAGCTAGCTGCTGAGAATTCATCACAGTCTGATAACAACGACCTCTCGGCATTGCCTTGCCTTGTATCTTTGGCACCAGGAGTTAGGATTGTGAGTGTTGCTGCTGGTGGACGTCATACTCTAGCATTATCAGGTGAATTTTTCAGCTTCTCATATCCTGAATGGGCTAATTTTGTTATGAAAAAAAACTGTGAATGTATATCCTCTGAGCTGAAGTTTGAAGCTTCTGGTGTGCTGTAATAAATAAAAGCTTGATGCATCCCAATTTTATCTGAAGTCCAGATATTGGACAAGTTTGGGGTTGGGGTTATGGAGGAGAAGGACAGCTTGGCTTGGGCTCCCGTGTACGCCTAGTCTCCTCTCCTCATCCTATCCCATGTATTGAGCCTTCTTCTTATGGAAAAGGCACCGTTTCTGGTGTAAACATGAGTTCAGAAGTGCAATGCGGCCGAGTTCTTGGAAGTTATGTAAAAAAAATTGCATGTGGAGGGCGGCACAGTGCTGTTATTACAGGTATTTTTCTTAACATATTGCTTTTGTGGCTAGTCATCTACTGTATGAGTGTTTAAATCCACATCACTGAAAACAACTTGTTTAACCTTAAATTAAATCTTTATTACTCTGTAGTCAGGATTTGAAAATTGATCTCATTTCTGCACTATGCCTTGGTTAAGGTTCATTTCTTAGGTTGCTTGGAGTTCTTTATAAAACCATGAACAGACCCCAAGAATCTTCGACCCTTTAAACCTGAAAAGAGTTTGACATATGTTATCTGAGAATTTTCCAAAAGGATTATACTTGCCATGCATACAGTACATATGAGTTGTAACTAGTTTTTTTGGTGGACAGATACTGGAGCACTCCTTACATTTGGTTGGGGGCTTTATGGACAGGTGAGTTGGACAAGATCCTTGGTTTTATATATTACAGCATAAGCTTGAAACTTGAATGACTTGAGATTCTTGCTTTCAGCTGAACCCAACACTTTGAGGAAAGCTAAACATATAATTAGGAAATAATGCTAGTCTGCAGTTAGGATAAGGCTACAAAAGATTATCGAAAACCTCTCTTGATATACATCTGCAACTAACATTTGCACCTTGTTTTTTTTTTTTGCTAATCTGAAGTGTGGCCAAGGAAGTACAGATGATGAACTAAGTCCAACATGTGTGTCATCTTTGTTGGGAATCCGAATAGAAGAAGTGGCTGCAGGTCTATGGCACACGATCTGCGCTTCATCTGATGGGGATGTGTATTCATTTGGTGGAAACCAATTTGGACAGTTAGGCACTGGTTGTGATCAAGCTGAGGTAGAATCTTGAACTATATTGGTCTCATTGTCTCTTTACGTAATGCTGATTATTTCTGGAGACCATGCCATTAAACTTGAAAACCAATTTAAATCGTGCAGACTCTTCCAAAATTATTGGAGGCTCCAAATTTGGAAAACGCAAACGTAAAAACAATCTCGTGCGGTGCTCGTCACACCGCTGTAATCGCAGATGAAGGGAAAGTATTCTGCTGGGGATGGAACAAATACGGACAGGTAAAACAGACCAGACCATATCGAGCTACTTCTGAAATTGTTTTGTTCCGTTTAGGTGCATTTTTACTGACGACATAGTTGTGTGTGTGAAACAGTTGGGTCTAGGAGATGTGATTGACCGGAATGCTCCATCAGAGGTTAGAATCAAAGACTGCGTCCCCAAAAACATTGCATGCGGTTGGTGGCATACTCTGCTTCTAGGCCAGTCCTCTCTCTGAACAGACTTGACACACTCCAAATTTTGTTAGGGGTTTTATTAGAGCAAACGATCAGATTTTTTTCTGTTTGACCCTTTATTTTATATACACGTTAGAGGTATACTTCTGTACATACACCAGCAGCATTTTTATGCAATGTAAGTCTTGAGTTATCCAGCTTTTGTTTCTTCTGATAATTTAGCTTAACTTAAAAAAGAGGATAATCCATTTTTATGCAACGTAAGTCTTATCTTTTGTTTCAAGTGAAGTTCTTTTTGCTCTTATCAATTTATAAAGTTTTCTTCCGTTAATTCATTGAAAAATCTTTATAGAGAGAAATGAATAAATAAAAGATACATTGAAATATTTATAGAGGATAAATAAAAGATATCCTTTATTAAGGATAAATGAATATACAATTCTACTTTGAAATCTTGATTTAAATGAAATTATTATCATTTTTTGTAACGTCTGTTTTACCAAAATTAGGAGCTGTACACACCGAATCAGTAATAAGATCTCTTAATCCTCCCAACATCGTCTCTTCGGCTTAGGGCTAACTTTATCGACAATCCTGTCTAGAATAGGTACTGAAAGACTCTTTCTTCTCTTCACGGTAACGAGCACTAACCTACTCCGTTTCCACGAGACTACATTATTGGTCTTAAGACTTTACTTAGACTCTCTGAGGAAGAAGACTCCTTCAGAATTAGCGAATGGTCCACACATTGTTGGGAATGTTCTTGTGGATGAAACCGCAGAGATTGGAGAAGGATATTTGATCGGCCCTGATGTTGCTATAGGCCCTGACTGCGTCATTGAGTCCAGGGTGAGACTTTCACGCTGCACGGTGATGCGTGGGGCACACGTGAAGAGACACGCGTGTGTCTCAAGTAGTATCATTGGGTGGCAATCGACGGTCGGACAATGGGCTAGGGTCGAGAACATGTCCATACTTGGGAATTAAAAGTGTTCATTTGTACGATGAGATTTATTGTAATGGAGGGGTTGTGTTGCATAACAAAGAAATCAAATCAAACATCTTGAATCCAGATGTAGTGATGTAATAACCCATCTGATGGATTTGCTGTCTTTTTGTTTTGTTTTTTCAAAACTAGGTCAAATAATCATAATAAAACGATTTTTGTTTGACTATTGTTTTAGAATGATGGAACGTAACTAGCTAAAAGATCCTTTAACACGAGAGAGTCTTTCATCCGCACATATAAAAGCTGCCCTAGTAACAAAAAGATCCCCGCAGCCAGAGAGATCTAGCCCTAACTAGTTTTTTTCTTTGCCTTTCACAGAATCTTCAATCTAAATTTTGAGGATGTCAGCTCCGGTCCAAAACATGTCTGATCTATTCGTCTGTAAGATCCTATCCTACTATCTTCTTGCTCTAAGTTGTTTTTGTCTTTTTTTTTTTTTTGTATTAATATGGATGATCGATTTTCATATGGATCGATATGATTGTTTTCGCCCACGTATTGAAACCTCTGGCAGGGTCTGAAACACGCGTTTTCTGGGACGTGGGTGATTTCCCAGCGCCTCCTGGTACCTGTATCAAATTGTTTCGTGAAATTGTCGAAAGAGCTCTTTTGATTGAAGGTTATCGTTGTTATGACTTTTCAATCAAGGGTTATGATGCTGGCAAGCTCCCATTCAGATTGCTTGGTCACTATGTCATGGCCGGAGTCTCGTTCGACCTTAGAGGTGATTTTCCTTTAATTACAAAACATATATGCACCACTCCATTTTTTACATGTCTTGTAACTATCTAACATCGATCTCCTTATATATATCTGCATTATTGTTTTGTCCAGCCGAAGAAAAATGTACGAGACTTAATTGCATGTTAGGAGACATGATTAACTGGGCATTCGAGTCTATGAATCCTCCGAGAGCAGTTCCTCGACAAATAAATTTGCTGGTAATTGCAAAAGACATCCCAGGAGGAGACACGGAGTTCGTCCGAGTATGCCACGATTTGCAAGAAACAGGCTTCAATGTTTTCTTAATTGTGCCTGATGACTGCCCACGAAAAGAAGTGCCACCTCCTACTACTGCCAAGTTGGTATGGCGTTGGACAAGCCTATTTCATGGAGGTCTCCCTGTCGATGCTGAGGACAAGTACCTACTGAAGCCAGCTTCCTTTCATTAGTATGTTTTTCTGTCAAAAGACTTTGGTTCTCTGTTTGTGTATGATTAACATTAACTGGCTCTTTATTCTCTTCAACCGTTACTACTAATGCCAGCTTCCTTTAGAATGGTATTACGTTTTCTGCGTCAAAAGACTTTGCTTCTCTGTTTGTGTATGACTTGCATTGGTTCTTTGTTCTCTTAAATGTCATCTGTTTTAAGCTCTTCTCGTCCATGCCTCCATGGTATACAGAGGACTCAACTTTTACTTGCTTATACTTTTAAATACAACACCTTAGTACTGTGCAGTAGATGCAATCAGGTGAAAGCCACTCTGTCTTAGACAGAGCAGAGCAGAGAAGTGCTGGATCCTTTTTAGTTGCATTAGTGAGTGACCACTAGAGTAGAGGATGTGGATTTTCTCGTTGATACATTGCAAAGTGCCGCAAGTTTTTTTAATTACTCTACTAGAAAGAACACATCTTTCTCCCATTTTGCTCTGTTATTGACAAAACTATCCGGCAACGCATCATTTACACAAATTTGATTTGGTATAACTTCAATTTAGTGTAGCAATCTGTGGAAACCTTTAGAATGTCTTGGTTTGTCAAATCCATCTCGTTAGATCTAATTTGTGTCTTGAGCTTGCAAATGATTTTTTATCCAAGTGAAATCTTTTAGAAAATGGTCGCCCCAGTTAATATATTAATCTGCAAACTAACCATAGTAAAAATGGAAGTAGATTTGATGATATCTTTCAAGAAAGAATACAATACTAGCAGAGATGAGATGGGAAAGGGAGTAAATGAAACAGCAATACACTTCTAAACAGAGTCTAAGAGAAGAAAGAGTCAATGTTTTGTCTTTATACACAAAACCAAAAGTCATTTTTGTGGAACAGGAAATTTTGTTTGAAGGTGAGACTGATAAAACATTACTACTCTCCAGCCCCATCCCCGCATCAGTAGCACTTGTCGCCACGACAAAAAGGACAAGGAATACCATCATCCTCAACTTGGTCGATAGTTTTTAATTTGCGATTGAAGAAAGTTCGATATCCTCGATCTTGTAGGTCCCATAGTTGGGCTGGGCAGCTAGGCTTTGCTCCACTTGATATGAGCTCCCAAAACCATGTATATTCGACATACACAAATGGAGTTGCTTCTGGTGAGAAGTCACGATCCAAAACACAGATAACATTGTAACCACGACTCCTCATGAAAGTCATAAGATTGACAAATTCGGTCTCGGTCTCTTGTTGCATGTTTTTGGCGATTACCATCAAATTTGCAGGTCTACTTCGGGGAAAAGGATTTTCGAGTGACCAAAAACCAATGTCCACTATCATCTTATTAAGTCTCGCATATTTACCCCTGAAAAATGCATGCATATATCAACGGATCAAGATATAAAATTACAGATAAGTAAATATATACGTGAGTGTCAACTGTCAAGTAAGGGATTAAGTAAAAAAAGAGTGTTAAGAGGGTTTGAAGGTACGAAGTCGTTTACACCATCCAGCTTGTCAGGTTCCTTCTCACCGTAAGCAATGATTGACACGTCACCACGATAACCTTCCTTGTCAAGAGCTGATTTGATAATCCCATGAAACGAGCTACCATTAGGGTTTGGGAAATCCTCCACGTCCCAGAAGACGCTTGTTTTTGCATCTTCACAACACAGTTAATTAATTTGTCTAGATCCCCTTTTCTCTTGTTTCACTGACGTATTGATCATTCAAGCAACGAGATAAAGAGATCCTACTGGAGAAATCTTGGGACATGGTTTTGACGGAGAGATCGAGAGAAATTAGCTGTGGATGAGATACTCTTTAATTATTTAGATATTGTGGGCATACTCTTTAATATAGGGTTGTGCTGCAAGAAACTGTAGTTTCTTCTCAGCCGTTGGATCTCACGTGTTTAATAAATCTTGATTTTACCCCTAAATGCAAAACAGAGCAGCTGCCAATGACTTTAATTGGTATTAAACAAAATCATCAAAAGACAAAGGAGATCATCAAACAAAATCATCTTTGACGAAATCGATAAAATCATCAAAAGACGAAATCGATAAAAGGATTGATATCTAGCTATCTAGCTATTTCATCCTTCTCTTTCCTTTATTACTTACCAGCTTCCTTGATAGAGGTAGGCCTGCAAATTCCAAGGAGCAAACCTTTGATGCTGCTGATGTTGATTCATCAAAACCAATAAAACTAGACACCGCATCTCTAGCGAACATTGACAATCACAGGTAGTGTCATAGATCACCAAGAAGAAGTAGGAACTCATTTTTATCTATGCAATTTCGTTGATAGAACAAATATTATCCCAAAGAGTAAAGCTTTATTTTTATTTGAATATAAGTTGAATTTGCCACATTGGTGATTGATTTGATGACAGAAAGCTTCAAGAGGATCTAAACCGATGAAATGGTGGGACTTGCAAGACAACTCAAGGAGAGAAGTCAAGCGATAAGCCAATCTGTGCAAAATACAGAAAAGGTGAGATGCTAACCATTTCCTCACAAAATGGGATAAAGAGAAGAATCTATATTTTGGTTCATAAAATTCTTTAACTGGCTTCATTGGTCTTAATTAACATTTTTCTTTCTCTCTTTTATTGTGGATTTATTAACAAAAAATACTTAGACTCCACCGAGGAGGCCATTGAGCAAAGCTTAGCGAGCACAGGACACGTGACAACAAGAGCCACAAAAGATATATTCACAAAGCTCAAAGACAAGTTGCTTCCAGTGGCTATTGATCTTCGCCATGACATGTGTGTTCATAATGGTTGTCCTGCTGATCCGAGTTACATAGATAATGGTTCGGAATGTGAACCAGATTAGTGAAACTCTAAAGAACATTTCAGTTTGTCAAAGTTATGTTGCCTTTGTAAATTCTGAGTTTGGAATATGTGAGAGTGAAATGAAACAACACAACTTGATTCTACCTTTTTTTTTTTTAATTGAGGAACTAGAGGATGGCCCGTGTTTTCGCACGGATGATGTTTTTAAACTAAAGATATAATTGGATTTGTATTAATATTTGGTATTCAATAGTATAGGATAAACATAATAGTCTTGTATATTTTAATTTTAATTCTATAGAGTTAAATCGCGTGTTGATTTGTATATGCTAACTGTATAGAAAGTAAATAATATATACAACTAGTTTAGTAACCAAAAATTAGGTTAATAGTTGAAAGAGAATTTTTAAGCAATACCCCTTTTGGTGTACCCGTTTTAAAAAATACACCAATTTCTATCCATTATAAAAAATTTCTCTTTTCAAATATGAAATTTTTTTAAACTTTTCTATAGTTTATAAGGTACGTCTAGATAATCATTACTATTAGGAGACTCAATAAAAATATTTATAAAGTTTTAAAAAGGTTTTAAACGGTATTTATAATACTTTTATAAGGTTTTTATAAGGTTTAAAAAGTTTTGATATGTTTTTTAAATAATTTTTAAAACGTTTTTAAAAGGTATTTACATGGTATTTAAATTTACACACATAAAAAGATAATTTGTGTCTAAATATCTAAGCTTACATATTTTTTTTTATAAATATCAATTTTTTACTTTTTAATTATCATAAAATACCCTTTTCCATACCACTTTTTAAAAATACCGCTATTTCAAACTTTATAAAAAAAACCACTTTAAATATTGAAATTTATACAAATATGTGTGAAAACTTATAAATATACACACAAATTACCTTTATATATGTTTAAATTTTTATATATCTTTCATAAATAGCGTAAAATAACTTATAAATACCTTTTAAAAACATTATAAACCCTTTTAAAAACCACTTAAAAACCTTATAAAACTTGTAAAAACGATTTAAAACCTTTTACCTTTTAAAACATTTGTATCAAATTTCCAAGTAGTAGTTATTATAGAGAAGTACCTTATAAACCATATAAAACTTTATAATTTTTCATATTTAAACATGGATATTTTTGAAAATGGATAGATAAAGGAGGTATTTTTGAAAAGAGGTACGCCAAAAGGGGTATTTCTCAAAAATTCTCTTTAATTTTTTATAATTGTTTTTTAATTTTGTTTAAAAATTCCATTTGTATCTTAATATTAACAAAATTAGATATAACATGTTGCGACATCTTATGTCTTTACTTGACACTTATCATGATCACGTGGGTTAGTAAATTTAAAAACCAAGTTTTGACATATAATCTCGTTTAATTGTTAAACTTAAACCATAATTTTAATTTATAAAGATAAACCATAATTCTTATTTATCATTTATATACCCAAACCAACAAATAACCTGATTTAATTGTAAAATTAAAGTTTAAACCTTAATCCTCTTCTGTAAACAAAAACCGCCATATATTCTTGTTAATTATAAATTTTAAATCCCTATCTTATTAATAAACCAAATTGACATAACTGAAATTAGGTTATTTGTTTAATTTTACTAATAATTTTTAATATATAATTCTTTATAATATATATTTTATATATTTCCTTTTTCGATAGGGTTAATAATATTTCTATTTTATCCAAATGTTAACAAAATTAGTTATGACACGTGTCAACATCTTATCGTTTATAATTGACACGTGTCACGATCTTGTTAATGGCTAACTTTGAAAACCAAGGTTTATATAATAAGATAGTAATTAGGTCTGGTTTTAATATAAGTACGTATATATTATATTTTCCCTAAAACCGTTAAATTTATCAATCACGGAC